ATTGGTTCGAAATCGCTACTACTGAGGCAATTACTGTCAATCAATTTGGGCGAGATAATATCTGAATAAATAATGGCTGTAACAGCAGTTAAAATTGAAAATTGGTGTTTGAAATAAGTTGGCAGGTGCTTCCTCAAAAATTCTTTTCCTCGATTTGTGTTGGAAAAATGTACCTTTTCGTTCCGTGAATGTTTTATGTATTTTTCGTCACCGTTTATCTTGAACCATGACAAAATATCCAATATTGTCCTCTCGCGTAGTTGATGGACGACTTCCATTACCTCCGGGGGCGCAGATGGATTCTCGTCGGGACGCTACCCCCGCCAGCGGACATTCACGTTGTTATCACAACGACGTCACGTAATTCTTTACTATATCCTGTTCTTTCGTGTAGAGGTGACAAAGAAAAACAATCGTGGCGAGAAGTAATGCACTTCATGTAGAAAAAAAAAAAGAAAAGGGGTGGAAGGCGGTCGACGACGTGTTACACACCCCTTAATGGATGTGTAAACGGTAAAGTGAGAATGATAAAGTTAAGAGGGTCGCGACAGGTGGTAAGGTCGTTGTGCCCATCGTGTTCAACCCTTTTTTTTGTATAAAAAATATGAATTATCAAGCATCGGTCAAGTTCTTTTCAAAATTTGGGATCAAAGTGGTTACTAATTTATGTATCTGACGTAAAAAATGTTTTATTAAATTTGAGAATGGTACAGCAGTATTAGTATCTAGTAGAAAGGAATGAGGAGCGAGTCTTAAATAAAGTGACAGTGGAGCATGAAATGGAAACAAATAAAAATTAAACGAAATTAATGGCACGTATAGTAAAGTGAAAATTGGGAACGAAAAACTATAAAAAGTCTACGAAATCGGATAAGTCAGGACGGAAAAAGTAGGAAGGGGCGGTGCCTAAACCATATGACTCTGAAAGAGGGGGATTTGGAAAGACGCTGTTATAAACCATATGTGTATGGGGGGTATGTTGTATTTACTTGAGCCACATGATCGTTTATAGTTTTAAGGTTTTTGTATTTCCAACTGAAGATGACATGTATTTTCTGTGATACAGATGATAAAAGAATGGTTAACTTCAAATTTTACTGTTTCAGATGGTTTTTCATAAAAATTAAAATAAAATAAAAATTTGTATGAATAATACGTTGTTTTGGGGGTCCATGGATAAAACCATGATAAGTTGTATGGAAGGGGTTGAAAAGTTGCTAAAAAAGAGTCATGTGGTTTATATACAGTCCTTAAGTAACTACAAACCATTTTTGAACCTTCATAATCGGCTATAACTCGAAAAGGTTGAATTTTTCGAGAAAATGCTAAGGGATGAGTAGTGTTTCATTTAATTTTTGTTAACAATTGGTACTTTATTTTAACAAACTTGTCTACAATCAGTTACGACCAATATACAACGTATACAACAACTGTTCGATGTCTGACACGCAAATGCATGGGGCATTCGCCCTGTTACCTTTGCCGTCCCCTATGGTCCTCGGAAACTATAAGAATTTCCTGATACGTATAACGTCAGGGGGCTCAGAATGGCGCTAACACTTTGTTAATAAGCTGCCTGCCCTTCGGACAAAATTTTTTTATTAAGTTTTTCATTCTTAATAACAACAAACCCATTTCATAGGCGGATAGTGAAAATATCACGGATAGAAAATAGAAAGCGAAAGAAATAAGATGGTGGGACATATTCTGTATATGCGTTCGGAATTATTTTTGGTGTCGATTATTTGGAGAATGAAAAATGATATCAAAAACTGATTAGGTTTTCGGCAAAATCGGTCTAGCTAATTTTTGTGCAGAATTAAAAAACTAAAAAAATGCGATCTAGCTGAATTTTACAATTTATAAATTAATGCAGAATCCAAATATCTTGCGAATAATATTATATTATTAGATGCTAGAAACATTTGTATCACTAAATAGTATAAAACAAAGTCATTAAAACTACGCAATTTTGATGCGGTTTTTTTTAAAGATAGAGTGTTTCAAGAGGAAGGTTTATATGTATAATACATGCATAATATAGTAGGGAAGCACTGATAATTTTAGAGGTTTCTAATGTGATGTCGTAAATAAACACATTTTTTGCGCTTACATTGCAAACGCTGGCTGAACCCTACGAGATAGATTAAAATAATGTACTACAATATTATACATCTTAAAAGCTAGGGTCTACAAAAACGTCCGGGATGGTGTATGTCTATCTCTTAGGGATAACCCACAATAAACATTTTTATTATTTACTTTTTATGAGAAATAATGACTTATTTACGAAGCGATTGTAAGCAATACAGCATTAATTCTTATCCAATTAAGTACCTTAAATACATTGTGCATTTAATATAGATCAATATGGCCCTTTACAGCATGTAATTTAAATGAATATTTTCGAAGATATTACAGATTTAAAATGCAGGGACATAGCGGTTGCGGCGGTACCGGCCGGGAGGCCGGTTTGTATTGTCTAATGACAAAAAAACTGTGAATGTTGTATATAAAGACATTCTGTAGTATATTTAGTATGTTCAGGGGGTATCTTTTGAAGATTTCCCCTTCTCGATAATAATCTAAACAAAACAAAAATATATTTAGTATCAGCATTGCACCCGTGTGAAGCTGGGGCAGGTTGCTAGTATATAATAAAAATAATAATCGAGTATATTATGGTATTTAAATTATTTCCATTGGGGAGTTAGTCATATGAACCTCCTGGATCGCACCTAGACCACATTGGTTTTGTGTAGTGCAATGGCGCATTATTTGATTGTAGCGATTGTATGGCATAAAAACGTTTAAGCAGAAACATTTATTGTGGTATCGTTTGTAATTATTGCATACTTGACTTTGTTTACCTAGCAATAATAATGGATTTAATATGGTACCTTACCGTGTTTTGTGCTTTCTTAGGGTAATACTTAAACGAGGTCTCAGTTTTCTTTCTCGTTTCATTTCTTTGAACTTACAGTGTACAAAGTTGTTTCAACAAGAAATAATGGGTATCAGTGCCGGTACCTGAGCCGCTGTTGACATTTTCCGCTGTAATTTGTTTCCCAATTAGCTTTTTCTTTTTTTTTTTTTTTAATGTCGAGTGTTTGCCGTCGAAGAGAGACACTTACGAAACCACCTTTCCTGCGCGCATTTTCCCTTGTTTACTTCAGAAAAATGGTTGGTTTGTTATCACGTTAATATTAGTGACATTGAAATACGATTCGTTCTGCAAAAGCAAATTACATTTCGTTTATCATAAGTAATAAAAAATAAAACTTCATAAAAACCTACTGTAACATATTTCAACGAGAAACTACAATGTAATACACTGAAAATGTTGCTAAATATATCTATGCTTAGGTAAAGTAGACAGAAAAATGAAATCGGTAATAAATCTTATGTACCTATAGTGAATAATAATAATAATAATAATAGCAAATTGGTGTCAGCCCATTAGACATGGATAGAGGCGAGTAATTATTGTAAATTGCGTTCGTAATGATAACGTTGGACATCCGGTGTTAACAAGTTTAAATTCAAACGTTAATTGCTTTAACGAATAAAGTTTAAAAAAATTTTATTTAAAATTTTCAGTATATAAAGAACAGTAAGTGTTTGATGGACAATTTATCGAATCTTCCAGATGCTGATCGCGAGTTCGAACTTACTGAATAATTAGGAAGTCCTTTGTATAGGTATTAACAAAACCATCAAACTTTTAGAACAAAATATGTAAACTTCTATTGCAATTGCATTGTACTATTTAGTCGATTATATCGCCATCTGTCGATAATCGAAAAATGTTTCGAATAAAAGACAGGTATTATACGTAGCTTTTAGCATAAACTGCAAATCTGTAATCAAATTTTGGTATAATTTAATAGCGTTTTCAAAAATATCAGATGTGTGTCTTTTATTTTTTATATATTCATGATTGCATGTAATAAAATTTGTTCGATTTTTTAAAGAAAGTTTGAAATATTTTTTGAGTATTTATTAATTTCCTTACCTTACTACTTATCATGGCATAATTTTATTTTAATTTTGTTTCTGTAGTTTTTTTTTATTATTTACTTGAATAGCAGTGCATTTTGGTTCAGTTTTTTTTCACGGTATTGTGTCTTCATTTGCTCTTATTTAATAAAATCGGCGGTCAAGGAATGTAACCTTGTGCACGGTATTCATCAACTGTTAAATACCTTTACTTGTAAGGTCTCCATGAACTGTATTTTGCCCAGAACGAACTCTACATGTAATTTATTAATCGACTTAGTAGAGATAACGGTTATTCCCTTCTATATACTCGCTTGCTTTATAAGCGGATCGTGAACGAGGCAAAACTTGGAAAAAATCCAATTCGTGATCAAATGTTCATTAACTTTGACATCATTGCGATCATCAATAAATTTCATGTATTATTACTCAGATCAGATGTACCTACTGTTCGTACGACTTGCTGAAGTTGTTTATTTTCAGCATTGTGTTAAAAGAAAAGTTTATTATTTCCTTTTTCTTATTTTGTAGTGAAAAATTCCCAACAATTTGTTGATTGTTTCGTGGAATACAATTATATCGTGGACGACAAATAACGTACAAAGTTTTTTGGCATGTAAATGTCAAAGGTCGTCCTTGAAAGAGTTCTTTTCGTTCTTTTCTAACAGGAAAGTGAATAATAAAGAAACGCTTTTTAATTCAACCCGTGTCAAATTTTAATCTAACGGTGACTTTCCCCTTTGCATATTGTCATGCTTTTTATTTTACGGCAAATCTACTTTCAGAACTTCAACATTAATGAAACTAATGAAATTGTATTACATTTTATAATACAAACAAAACTTTAGCATTAATTCATAGTAAATGTATATCAAAAGACCTTAATTCTTTACATATTAAAATTAATAAAACAATCCCTCCTTTAACGTTTTTTTTTAAACAAAAATAAAATTAAGTCATTATCTTGTTGCGTTTGCATGATTTACACTTTTCTCTTGCAGCAATTGTTTCGATCTCAGCAGAGCCAAGCGGCTGCCGCGGCGGCCGCAGCAGCCGCAGCAAGTAACCCTAGCGCGGCCCAACTGCAGCTCCTTCAACAGCAGCAGCAACAGCAGCAACAGTATTTAGCTGCGGCACAACAGCAACAAGCCGCGGCCGCGTTCCCGCAGCCGCCCTACGTCCTGAATCCGCAGCAAGATGCGGCACCGTATCTGTTCACAGCCGGCGTGCCGCAGTATTACAACGTGGGCCCGTGGGTCTATCCGGCCCCGCCCGCCGCGGCCGCCGGTCTCATCCAGCAGGGTGCTGCGGCAGCTGCAGCGGCCGCATCGAACGGTGCTCGCCGCCCGCTTACGCCCAACGGCACGGCTGAAGCCGCAGCTGCACAACAACAGCAAGTACAGGTAAATGATTATTATTAATAGATGTACGTAGAGAATGCGCTGTATCATCGGACCAAAGTATGATGTTAATTAAAATGAATTTCTTTAGCCGCAGGTGCCGGGTGGTTACATTGTACCCTATTATGACCAAAATACGCCCATATTGATGGCTCAAGGTGCCGCAATGAGAAACGGTACTCCCATGAGACTGGTCAGCCCTGCGCCCGTTTTGGTTCAGCAGCAAGCTAGCAGACAGACTCAGGCCGCGGCATCTCTCTATTCCAGCACCCCGCAGAGTCTTTATGGTGCAAACGTTAACACTACAGTCAATGGGGGCACATTAGGAGGTGAGTGATAAGGTTTATGGCATTCATGTGCACATTTTATTCTCCCCGTACGCATAAAATAAGGTGTACGTAAAATCTGTCCTACCTTCTTAAAGGAACCTCTAGCACACTAACGGAATTATCACGGTTCTATCTATCGATCATGCGAGAAATAACAATTGTTTGAGTACAATGACAAAAGCAAATTGAAATTGAACGACGAAGTGTGTGTTGAACGTTTGTATACGCATGTATACATAGTGTTTAACCTGAACAAGCCGGGCTTTGTAAATATTTGCTGGAGGTAATGACATTTCGAACGAATTTGTTGTGTCCGAACACAATAATTTTGTGTCGCCTTTGGACCACATTTTGTGAGAATAAAGTGTACTGAATTTTATCGTTTCAACTCTTAGCAGAATGTAAATAAGATGATCTTATTGATTGTATATAAGTACATATGATTAGCATATTTTTTTTTGTAATTAATTTTAAACTGCATAGGTACTATACCTACCTATATAACATCATTTAATAACACAACATTGCACTAAATCGAATAATAATTGTCTGCTTATCTCACACACGTGTCTGAATGTGTTTCTATGGTCAATCAAATATTTCTTTCCGGCTCAGCTCAAATGAGCAATGATTTTATTTCGCGAAATATTTCAGTTGCGCTTTAAATTGGGCCACGTATTTTACTATTAAAGGTAGATAGAATGCATTAGTATTAAACTGGTCGTGCGGTAAACTGGATTTTACGGTTTTTGAAATTTATTACTTTACGACATTGTTGTTCAGTGGGCCGCGATGGTCAATTAGAAAATCGCGTGTGACTAGTTGAGCCCGTTCATGTTACGTTCGAGGGGTGATGTACGAGGGAAAATTACAACTACTAAATGAATGTGAAGTCCTTTGGAGGAATATTTTGAATAAAAATAGAATTTATATTATTGTGTGATTGGTACGGGCCCAACATAATTACGAATAATATCGGTATTTAAAGATCAAATTGAATATTATTATTACTGATTTTATTTATACAGGGTGGCCCAAGAAGTACGCAATATGCTCACTGAGACCAAAGTGCAAGTGCAAGAATCGAAATAACTTGCTCTCTATTTAAGTATAAGATCGTCTGTAGCACATAAATTTGATTTACTTTACAGAGTGGTCGAAAATAGAAAAAGTAAGGTTACGTTTAAATGGCAAAATTGAAAAAAATTATAGGAAAAAGTTGTTTAGAATGCCAAAATAAATTGACGATATTTTGGCATTCTGAACAACTTTTTCGTACAACTGTTTTCTATTGGACCATATTTCATAGGGCTGCCATTATAACGAAACTTTTTTGCTATTTTTGAACACCCTGTATACTAAATCAAATTTAGATGCTACAGACGATCTTGTATTAAAATAAGGAACATGGTTTTATTAAAAAATTTATCGATTAAAGTTACAGTTTGGTCGCTATGAGAATATTACGTACTTCTTGGACCATCCTGTGTAATATCGTTATGGGGATGGCATTGAAGGGATGGTTCGTAGAATGCATTCGCTTTCAATAATCCAAAAATATTTGATTGACTATGTCTGTAAAATTACTAACCGTGTGACGTGTTGGTGTGGGTACAGGAGTGGCCCAGGGAGTGGGTTCGGGACTGTTTCCCGCTCTGCACGCACCCCCCTCAGCCCCATTCGGCAGCTCCTCGTTGGGAAACATCGGATCTCCCGCGACTACCACATCCCTACCATCAGGTAACATTTTTTCTATAATAATATGCGTATTATTATCATTGTTACTAATTTAATTACAATAATTAATTTCACTTTGATGGTTATGCATGTAAAAAAAGTTATGTACATTTTGCATAGCAGATGGACGGTAGGGTAAGACAAAAAAGCAAGTGGATTAGTATGTATGTGTAGAAATATACATACAGGGTGTCCCAAGCAAGCGGGTTTCTTCAATAACTGCTTTATAGTTGAAGATATCAAAAAACATTTTTTACAAAAGTGGGACCATATAAGTATCTTCATGTCCTAAAATTATTTTCGATTATACAGAGTGTCCCATTTTTCCTGGAGGCTGCCTAACTTCATTTTTTCAAATTGATTACCTCATTCTTTATTGCATTTTTGAATTCCTCGTTAAATTTAAGTAACATAACTTAATCATGTATTATGTCCAAAATGCATCAATTTCCACAAAACTCGCACTAAATCAATAAATAGGCGGTTGCAGTACTTTGCCCCATCTCCGAAACGAAAGCACAGGGGTGTGCTATTTTTACACATAGCTCATAGAAAAAATGGCCTACAATTCCACTATTAACGCAAACACTTTCCTTTCAAATTCATTCACTTGCAAAATAAATTGTTTCGAAGTGGTATAACTATATTTTTTTAAATGGAACGATATATTTTTTGTCAGCTCATAATGTGCAAAATTTTATTTCCTTTCGTCTAATATAAGGATAGCCTCTAGGAAAAATGGGACACTGTATAATCGAAAATAATTTTAGGACATGAAGATACTTATATTGTAGCACTTTTGGAAGAAACATTTTTTGACATCTTCAACTATAAAGCAGTTATTGAAGAGACGCCCTTGCTTGGGACACCCTGTATATATGTATCATATAATCATTTGTAGTAAATGTTTGGGTGTATATATTATTGTATGTATACGTTTGTAATTATGTAAATGATTCTCTTAATTATTCCGCAATGGTGGGTTTATCCACCGCTTACTACAATTATTAGGTGAATGCATGTGAAGACGTTTTATTTTTTGTTTCATAATGATATGTTGCAAGAGCTCATTTTTGATTTATGGCTCAATACAGATACCAATCTATTGGCCAGAAGCTTCCTAAAGAAATGAGATGAACGCTAAAAATAAAAAAAAATATTCTCTGTTGATAGTCAACAGAAAAAATCTGCTTGCCCAAATTGAAAAACTTATTAATTAAAACAACTTTTATTTTTGAAATTTATACCTAAATTGTTCTGAAATTTATTCTAACTGTAAAACTTTTTTTTTACTTCAACATAACTTCAATCGGCTAGGGAAGAGGTTAACTAGGTATAAAGAGGAAGTTATTTTTCACTCTAAAAATATTTTGAAAATTATGGGAAGCTATTCGTTTCACTCCAACTTTTCGACTTCAAAGTATATTTCTGAAACATTTACACTGTAATGTATTTTGAAGTATTATGGACGAAAAAAAAGTTATTTATGCGTTGTTTAAATTTTAAGGTTTTATTTAGTAAAATTTTCTTTTTTTTTGTGCTCTAGTCCTTGCGGCTTTTTTGTTAATTAAGCGAAGGTTAAAATGAAATTTAATTACACGGATTAACTAGAGAGAGATTTGGTTTTATCAAACTTTCTCTCGCCATAAACTTTATTTGGATTTTGTTTTACGTTCGTAATTTTAATAAAACGAAGCTGTTGGGCGCTTAAAAGTGATTAAAGCGATAATCTTTTGTAGACAATTACAATTGAAATGATTATTAAGTTTTGTGGCAAGGTCTCGGTGCATTATTTTGGCCATAAATAACGAAAGTAATGAATCTTCCAAACGAGCAATTGTGTTTTTATAGCTGCACATTTTAAAAATAAATAACTTGGAAGAGTGGATAATAAAAGTGAAGATTTAATTTTTGAAAAGCACTATTTTACGGTGCAAACAATAATTCAATTATTTATTGACCGTTCAAGGTTGACACAGTTTCACTTTAGATGAAATTTTTGTTGTTTCGACAGATTCCTTACAAAACACAAAATGACAAAAAGTGCAACCTGAGCAATTAACGTGGATTGCGGAGGTTTTGCAAGATAGTTGTTGCTGTCAAGTGCAATGTAATGGCAAATAGAAATTACGTATTTGTTTATGTTGCAAATGTCATCGATTAAAATTAAAGAAGTTTTATTGCCTGCCTGACGTTGTAATATGCGTTTATTGTAATGACCTTTCCGAAGTTTACGTGAATAAGTACCTTGCATATTTTGAGGACACGACGAGGAAAAGATTCAGACAAACGTGCGAAAACGTTTGGTTCGATTATGTTTCACTAAAACGTCATTTAACATTTAATTTTTACGCACTTTCGTTACATGAAATTAAGGATATATTATTTTAAAGTTTCGTACAATAAAAGTACTAGAAATGGATCTTTTTGGTGAACAGTGTTGTATGATTGTTAATCAATAAGTGGACTGTATAACACTTTTATTTTGTTTAAAAACAATTTATTCTTTCTTAAGTGAAACTAACCAAAAGTATAAATAAAAATACATGTAAGCTTTAGTAAAGGCATGCGTCTGTTGCTCTTTGTGGCTTCTGTGCAACAGCGGCGAGATCAAAAGGGGTTGGGAAAGGGCTCACTTTGTCGGCGACGTAACGTACAGGCCTGTTTGTACCCTCTCCAGAATTTATCACACATACATACGAATAATAGATACGAACATGTGTAAAGTTCTGTACAATGTGTGTGGAGATTTGAACTGTTTGTAGTTTCAATGAATTCTCTTCTTTTTTATTATTTCTTTTTTTATCTATTTGTAAAACCACCGAGGAAATTTTGATTTTCTGGGTGATATAAGAGGCGTATATTTAAAAATAACATTTTTCATTTTTGTATAAAACCCATCCCACACATTTATCAATATTTTTACTTTTATTATCTATAAAAAAGTTTAATTCATCTCTAATCGCAACATAATCTGCAGCCTTGTAATTATAAACATTTTGATTTTTTTATTTTGAAAGTGCTAGAGCTGACTTGATCTCCACATAGCGGTGGGTAAAGGGGGTCATCCTCTGATATGGTACATGATGATCTGTGATCGCTGACAAAGACTAAGTCAAGCATATTTAAGTCATTTTCTGGTTTTTATGCAACATGGGCCATGTTACAAACACTAAAACCATCAAAAAGCATCACTGCAGCATCTCTCACCGCAATGCTGGTGTTTGTACCTTCCAAGTACAGTTCACCCCCATTCATTTTCCACACATACCCAGATAGATTGAAATCTCCTAATACTGTGTGCATCGGGGTACTCCATGTATTTTAAAAATTTGCAATTAACAACTCGAGATAAAATGAGGGTAATATGGCACCCTGGGGGTGTACCCTGTATTGAACTTAACGACAAAAATCGCAGATATTATATTCTCCTTCAGGGTCTGCGCAGTCGGTATGAGCCCATAAGTTACAGCTCTGACACTATCCATTCTTCTCCACGTCTATCATTGGAATAACTGGTGTCACAAGATATACACATCGTATCTAAGTCTTCAGGTACTAATGATGGACAGATATTTTTATCAAATTCGGACGAGTCGGTTTCAATGACTTCTTCATTATCGGAGCTACTACTGGATATCACGTCTCTCTGGTACTGATTAGAATTTCTGGCGCTACCCCCTCTATCACCTTGGATGCGCCGAAGGCCTCGGCCACGTCCACGTCCGCGTCCACATCCGCGTCCACGTCCACTTCTGCATTCGCGAGCGGTTCTTACCGCTTAAATATCTGTAAAAAAATAAAAGAATCAAATATCATTCATTTTGCATATTTACCTTAGATATCTCGAAACCTCCAAAGCTAAAACTTCACATTTTCAAAGTTATTAATTTAAATGTAACACAATTACAAACTTTTTGCGAGTGCAGATTCAAACTAGCCCGATTAACGAAAGTATGTGCTGTCCCCTCTCAATTTTTTTGGTATTAAATCTAGGTTGTCATCTATGTGCCCTGTTATAAAAAAAGTAGGACTAATAACCCTGAGGTACTCCTGATTCAATGGTCAGAGGGTACACTGAACGAAAAAGGTACATATATTCAATAAAAAAAACATAATATTGATGAAAAATTAATTCATTTTGGTCCGTTGATTTTGTTCATTAATATTATGAACGTATGTGCATTAATTGATGATCGTGTTCATTAGTTGATGATTTTTTTCATTGATTTCCAACCTTTGCCGATTTCAATGAAGTAATGAACAAGTTCATTATTTTTATTAATACGATTGTAAAAATTAATCATCGTGTTTCTTCAATAAATTATAGAATTGATTATATTAACGAAACTTGTTCATTATATTACTGAAACTCGTTCATAGTATAGATTAATGTTTTCATTATATCCATTACATACGTTCATTATATCAATATAACTCATTCATAGTGTGGAAGAACTTCTTCATCAAATCCATCATATATTTTCACTATATTGATACAATACATTCATCGTATGGATAAACACATACATAACTATTAAGGAGCTTAAAATAATTAAATAGTCGTGGGGAAATAAAATAATCTTGTAATTTACAAAACATATATTTTAAGAACTAACAAAAGTAACAAAGAAAAATACAGAAAAGAATTTACATTATGTTTTAAATAACAA